CTTAAGTATATTGTTAGCTAGCTCTTACATCTAGAATTAACCCATCTCCATTATTCATATTTTACTATGAGGCTCGTGGCCTACCAGCAAGGTTTCAGTATGCCTGTCTCTGAAGGTGGCTTCATGGATTCTCCCTGACTCTGCCTCCTTCCTCCCAGCATTCAGTTTAGTTTTCCCTGCCTAACTCTACTCTTTTGCCCTATCATAGGCCCAGACAGAATACTTTATTAACCAATGGTATTCATAGCATACAGAGGGGAATCCCACATCATTGTACTATTCCTTGTAAGAAGTCTAAATTCATGATTGTGTTAGTGCTGTAGATATGTAATGGCAACCCATTCTGCTCATCACACGTACAAACCAGAAGTTGAATCTTTAAGTGGTATTTTATCCAGATAGCCAGGAATCTGAGAAGATAGTGAGTTATGGTCCAAAAGATCTGTCTTCCATGTCAACTTTAGTCAGCAAATTTTAGAGGAAGGGGAAGCAGAAGCAGTTAATCAATCATCCCAGAGTTTGGTCACCTCTGTGGTCAGGTGCTTTGTTTTATTTCTGAGATTTGTGTTGATGTTTTTCCTTATCATCTCCCCAGAGCAGGAGAAGGTTCACAAACACCAAGGCCATTGAATCTTGAATTCTTCTCATGTCAGTCATTTGGATGCCATCTAGATTAATGGTTAAAGTAGAGCAAACAAACCATTAACAGTGTGTTCACGCAGATCTCTTCTTACAGAATAAAGTGCAAACATGTTCTTAGGTAATTTGCTGTGCCCTTATCATTGTGTTCCCATCAGAGCTGTTATCCTATCGAAATGAAAGCAGAAGCTGAGAACTGGAGAGTTGGCTTGGTTAAGAATGCTTGCTGCTCTTCCAGAGTACCTAGTTTTGGTTCCCAGCACCTACTTTGGACAGCTTACAGCTGTCTGTGACTCTAGCTCCAGGGGATCTAGTGCCCTTTTTGGCCTCCATGGGCACCTTCACCCACACATACGCATACACATACACATACATACATGTATACACCCAATCTTTAAGAAGTAGAAGCTGAGTTTATTGTTATATTTGTGTGTACGTGTGTGTATGTGTGCACACATGTGTCAGGGTACATGTCAAGGTCAGTAGATAGCTCTGTGGAGTTGGTCCTCTCCTACCAACCTTACCTAGGTTCTGGGGATAGAACCTAGGTCAACAGGCTTGTGCAGCAAATCCCTTTACTTGCTATTTAGTAGGCTTCTGTGTTGTTCTGTCCAATGATGCTACTCATTATTGCCTTTTAAAATTTGCGTTCATTTCCTTTTTTTCATAAGCCCCCTAAGATGCAAAGTTTGCTAGAAGACTTTACCAAGCTGGTGTTAGTGGTGCTAACCCTCCAGCCCTTGAGTTCTGATGACAACTCCTATAATATTAACTTGAGATCTCCAAAGATTTTAGCCTCTCCTCTCCCCTCCTCTCCTCTTCTCTTTTTTATTCTTCCTTCACCCTTTCCACTTCTTGACACTTATTTCTTTAAAGTTCTGGAGGCCAGAATCTGAAATCAAGGTACAGGCAGGACTGGGTCCTTCTAGAAGTTTGGAGGAAACAATGGGCTCCATACCCCTCTCTCAGCTTCTAGCAGGCGCAGGCATTCCTTAGCTTGGACTGTATCAGTTTGGTCTCTGCATCTACTATGAGTCAACACTTTTTAAACAAATTGTATGAAAACGACTAAATAATAACAACAGCATTTATGATGGGATTATCAGAATTTACCAAACACCATAACCAAAGGTACCTCACCAGAAGTGGAGGCACAAGACCAGAAATTTTAGCAAAGCTACATTTGATATAAAGACATTTCTTTAAAAAATTTATTTTAAAAATGGGGCATGTAAAGAGAATAATATTTCAGAAAGAGAAAAAAAGAAGAAGGAGAATAACTTATAAAAGGAAAATTATGCTTTATAAAAACGGAATAAACAACCCCAACCCCGGAGCGGTCTCTCCCCGAGATCCACTGCCCTTTGGTGCAAACAGAAAGAACAAGTAGCAACTTAACAGGAGGAAGAATGGCACTGAGGCAGATTTCCAGCAACAGGTGCTTCGGGGGGCTCCAGAAGGTCTTTGAACATGACAGTGTTGAGCTGAAATGTAAAATGAGACTTGCTGTCTACCTGCCTCCACGGGCAGAGAGTGCAAAGTGTCCTGCACTCTACTGGCTGTCTGGTTTAACTTGCACAGAACAAAATATCATAACAAAGTCTGGCTTTCAGCAAGCTGCCTCAGAACACGGCCTTGTCGTCATTGCTCCAGATACCAGTCCCCGTGGCTGCAACATTAAAGGAGAAGATGACAGCTGGGACTTCGGCACTGGTGCGGGCTTCTACGTGAATGACACTGAAGACCCCTGGAAAACAAACTACAGAATGTACTCTTATGTAACCGAGGAGCTTCCAAAACTCATAAATGCCAATTTCCCAGTGGATCCACAGAGGATGTCTATTTTTGGTCACTCCATGGGAGGCCACGGAGCTCTGATTTGTGCTTTGAAAAATCCTGGAAAATACAAATCTGTGTCAGCATTTGCTCCAATTTGCAACCCAGTGCTCTGTCCTTGGGGCAAAAAAGTTTTTAATGGATATTTGGGACCAGATGAAAGTAAATGGAAGGCATACGATGCGACCTGTCTCGTGAAGTCCTCTTCAGGTTCCCAGATTGATATATTAATTGATCAAGGAAAAGATGACGAGTTTCTTACAAACGGGCAGTTACTCCCTGATAACTTCCTAGCTGCCTGCACAGAAAAGAAAGTCCCTGTTGTTTATAGGCTACAGGAGGGTTATGATCATAGCTACTACTTCATTGCAACCTTCATCACCGACCACATCCGGCATCATGCAAAATACCTGAATGCATGAAAAGCTTCAGGTGGAAGAATCTCATTGGGATTATAAACCTTGGACTACATGTAATTGCTCAGTAAAAGATTTGGGGTTTCCTCTCAAAAGATCATCTTCCTGCAGTTGAATCACTTTTCTGAATAAAGATATCAAACTTTCTGATAAAAAAAAACAAAAAAACGGAATAAACAAATAAGTAAGTAAAATAAAAAATAAAAAAGTAAACTTTTCAGGACTTTCCCTCAACTCAAAGATAAAAAGTAGCCCACACTAAAATATATTTTAAAATATTTTTATTATTTTAATTATACATATGTGTGTGCCTGCCACCAAAACAGTAACATGTGGGAGGTTCTTACATATTACCAAGCTCTGTTGCTGCTCAAAATGCAGCCTTGCTCCCTTCTGGATCACAGCTTCTATGGGATGACTCTGAGAAAACACCCCCAGAAGACTCCGCTGTATCTAAGAAGGCTAATGGGTTAGTTGCCCAGAAGGAAGGAGTGAGAGCAGCCGTGAATCCTGAGCCTTTGGCGTTCTGGTACCATGTGTCACCTGCTGGTAAAAGACTGAACAAGCTCTCCAACCTCTCATGTATATTTTCCGCTATACTGTGCTAATTCACGAAATCGACTCTCTGGGAATTTTAAGATATCTTGAGAGACTTGTTTAGAATGTCCTAAAATGCTATTTCTTGTGTACATAAGAACGTGTAGCACGACATAGTCAGTCTTATCCCTGCTATGAGAAGAAATACACCACGGTAATAGAGGTCCAATCCATTAAGCTTTCAAGGGGCTAAGCACCCTCCGCCCCTTCTGTGGGGACACTCACCACGCCCACCCCAGCCACTTCGGACCTCCCTCACCGCCATCTTCTCTCTCTCTCTCTCTCTCTCTCTCTCTCTCATGTGTGTGCGTGTGTGTGTGTGTGTGTGTGTTTATTTCGTGTCGTGTGCATGTGTGTTTTTGTTCTCTCTATGTTTGTCTATGTCTCCCTTTCTTTAAGTAATAAATGTCTAGCTTTATGTATAGCCTTATGTCCATTTACTCTGCCCTCCACCGCATCCAGCCGCCTGACTCTGCCGCTCGCCCTGGGGACCCTGACTCCCCTGGCCACATGGCGCTGCCACCCTGGAGATCTTGCGGGGACCCACAGCCACTAATAGCTGCTCCGCGAGCTGCCCGGGACATCCCATCATATTATTTTTAAAAAGAACAATATTGGTGTCGGGACTCGAGAGATTCACCCCCCAAGGGCCAGGGTTCCAACTTTACCTTTCGTCCGGGACTCTGACCACCAACTTCCGGGATTAAATCGGCCTTCCTCAAC